TACTGAGAGAATCAAATGTTGATATCCCACCGATGATGTTGAAGGTAGCTGAAGACCCTGCGTACTGGCCGAGGAACGCTAGGAAAAGCGTGAGCAAAAAATCTTAAATTTTGAAAATTTTTGGGAAAATTTTTTGTAGGGCTATGGTGGTTCGGTTGGGAATAGTTGGAAGAATGATGATGAGCGTGGAAGAGGGTCGAGCGGAGAAAAGTGGAATTCGAGAAGCGGTGGAAATTGGAATGATAATAAGAGTAATAACAGGGGGGAAAATATGTGCATTGTGGCGGTGGAAAACTGTTGAACCGGTGTAGTTTTTCCGGGGGGAGAATGGTAATTTTTTGTTATTTTGGGGCTGAAGTATATTTAATATTTATGGGAAAATATGTGTTGGTGATAATATGAAAATTCTGAGAAAATTCTTGTTGGTTCCTGTACACTTGTGTAAACATCGAGCTCAGCGGAAGGAAGTTAACGTAGATTTGGAGGAATTGAGGAAAGATCAGTTTTTATGGGGTTTTGGTTTCAGATGGCGGTCGCGGAGATTGGAAGAACGATCGTGATGGTGGCGGTCGTGGAAAATGGGAAGGAAGAAGTGGAGGAGGAGGAGGATGGAAGAATGATGATAGTCGAGAGAGTCGTGGAGGTGGTCATAATAGGGGGTTGGTGATGATGTTGTGGTATGTGGATATTTTATCGAGAATAACTTGAAAAATCCTATTTCTCAATATTTTCGATAACTATTGTATGAACTTTACGAAAATAATAAAACTATTCTCATCGAAACGTGAACGGATAAGGAGGGAGGAAAAACCGGTGAGAGTTTCACCGGTGATATGAAAAAACTGATTTTACAGTTCACGTCCGGGACCCATCTAGCTTTCAGAAATAACGTTCCCCAGGGTTTGATAACAATGGGGAAAAACGTTCGTGATGTGATGACATTTACACGGGAAACTGATTGAAGAATGTGTTCCCAGCCGTATGTAGAAAGTTAAGAATGAGTTCCTCCCGAGAACATTATAGGTTTCTGGATGATTCCCTGGTTCACGTCGCGTAAAATGGATGAATTCCAACTCTCGTTTATCGAGTTCCTCCTTCGTAGATTGTAGTATGGTAGAATTTTAGATTCTGTTTATATGTCGATGGTGAATATATATGAATTTTTTTGCTGGTTTTTTTGTGAGCTTCTCATATGTAGGTAACTATGGATCCTCTCGAAGCACGTGGCAGTGATTCTGTCGTTTGGTGATCGATCGGAAATAATTTAGGACGCGATGGCTACTTTCTGTGAGTTGTTACGAAGCTGTGAGTCTCTGATTGTTTATGAAGATGGAGTTGTGTTGGTTGGGTGGAGTAATGGGCTTCATGCGGAAGTGATATATATGGAAAGGAAATCTTTATTCTGGATGATTGGAAATTCAGGGCGTTGCATAGGTGAATTCGCAGAAATTTTTTTCATTATCGTCAGTATTATACTGACAGTATACTCAACTGAATGTTCTCATTCTAGGATAGAATGTCACATTCAGGCGTTATACAGCGCAAACCAAACCGGTCTGTAGATCACTGTCTTGAAGTTGGGGGAATGGAAGAGTTTATCAGCGAGTCTGAAAGTTCAAGAGGCATTTAATGATCGTAGTAACGATCGATTGACAACATTTCTGAAGCATTCATTATCATATACTGGAGTTCCATCCGTGGTATGGAAACACTAGTGAAGAACACATTTCACATCGCGTAATACGCGTTTCACACGCGAGAAACACGTGTGAAATGTTTCTGTTATACTATAACACATGTGGTGTTTTGCGCGTGTATAACGCGAAATGACTCGGTCTTTTTCGCTAGAATGGGAAGACGACTTAGATTGAACGCGGAGACACTCGGCAAGGAGAAACAGTTTGTTGGCTACGCCCGTATCGGTCTGTTGATGATAAAGGAAATCAGAAGTGATTAGAATTCGACAGCAGGTCACCAGCTTGCAAACGCAACATCGACATGTTGTTTACAGAGAACCGAAGCGCCTAGGGAAACCCGACGCACGTTCGACAACGCTGCACAGAGAAGTGCTGCTCTGGTTGAAGATGATTTCCGCGTCATCCAGAACGGCGGGTACGCTTGAGAGTCGCCGAGTGAAGAGGAGTTGAGCGGGCGAAGGAAATTGATCTGAAATGTTAATTTTGCAGCAACCACAGTTTGCGGAACAGCAGCATGAGGTTCATGACACCCCCTGAATAATATCTTTGTCTTACCAAGTTCATACGGCAGAACATTACATTATTCAGGATTAGGAGGCATCGCAGTCGATCGTATGTGTACCGTGTTGTTGAATTGCTGGGACGTATGCGTGCTGTTGATCGGTCATATGATATTGA